AAAACAGGGAATTATAAGGGAATAGTCCCTAAAATGGGATAATAAGGGAGTATTCCTCCAAAGCAGGGAATTATAAGGGAATATTCCCTAAAAACGGGGAAATATAAGGGAATATTCCCTAAAAACAGGGAATTATAAGGGAATAGTCCCTAAAAACGGGGGATGATAAGGGAATATTCCCTAAAAACAGGGAATTATAAGGGAATAGTCCCTAAAAACAGGGAATTATAAGGGAATATTCCCTAAAAACGGGGGATGATAAGGGAATATTCCCTAAAAATGGGGGATGATAAGGGAATATTCCCTAAAAACAAGGAATGATGAGGGAACATTCCCCAAAGCAGGGACAGGCGGGCAGCAGTCGGCCGGGGGAGGTTTGGAGCGGTGAAGGGGAAATGGGATTTTCCATCCCTCGGGCCCTCGGTGGTGTTGTTGTTTTTAGGGATAAATCCTCCCGGGGCTTTTCTGGGTCGAATTCCGGGAGGGGCCCCTCAGGGTGTCCCTAAATCCCTCACTGCTGCTCCCTTACAAAAACAAGGAAGGATGGAATTCTTTTCCCCTGAAAATTCCTGATAAGGGTGAAAACCTCCGGAACTCCCCACTTGCTGATTTAACAGGGAACCTTCTGGCGGCCCCAAACTCCTTCCATCCCTTTTCCCTCCCACTGAGGCAATTCCCAAAGCTGGACACATTCACGGCACCGCAAATTCCCATTTTTGCCTCATTTCTCCCCAGAGCTGGAAAATGCGGCCCAGATCCGATGGCTGAGCTCAGAGCTGACGACTGAAACGGGAAAACCCCAACTTCCTTCCCCTTGTGGCCCCAGATCCCCGAAATCTCTGGTTTTTACTGGGTGGGGCCGAGAGACGGGGTGAGAAAATCCCTTTTGGGTTAAAAACGCCTCTTCCCAGCACTCTGCTCTCCCGACCTCCAAGTGCACAGCCCGGCTCCTCCCCAAAATCACAAATCCTCTGGATTTCCCTGCTTCCCTCCCTCCCACCCGCGCCTGGCTTCCACCTGCGCCTCTGGGGGAAGGTCTGGGATTGTCTGGAGGGTGAGGAAGATCCAGGGGAAGGTCTGGGATTGTCTGGAGGGTGAGGATGCCCCCAGAAAAGATCTGGGATTGTTTGAAGTGTGAGGATGGTCCTGGGACTGGTTTGGAGGGTGAGGATGTTCCAGAGGAAGGTCTGGGGTTGTCTGGAGGGTGAGGATGATCCAGGGGAAGGTCTGGGATGGTCTGGAGGGTGAGGATGTTCCAGAGGAAGGTCTGGGATTGTCTGGAGGGTGAGGATGTTCCAGAGGAAGGTCTGGGATTGTCTGGAGGGTGAGGATGTTCCAGAGGAAGGTCTGGGGTTGTCTGGAGGGTGAGGATGCCCCAAGGGAAGGTCTGGAATTGTTTGGAGGGTGAGGAAGATCCAGAGGAAGGTCTGGGATTGGTTTGGAGGCTGAGGATGCCCCAAGGGAAGGTCTGGGATTCATTTGGAGGGTGAGGAAGATCCAGAGGAAGGTCTGGGATTGGTTTGGAGGGTGAGGATGCCCCAAGGGAAGGTCTGGGGTTGTCTGGAGGGTGAGGATGTTCCAGAGGAAGGTCTGGGATTGTGTGGAGGGTGAGGACACCCCAAGGGAAGGTCTGGGATTGGTTTGGAGGGTGAGGACACCCCAAGGGAAGGTCTGGGATTGTCTGGAGGGTGAGGACACCCCAAGGGAAGGTCTGGGGTTGGTTTGGAGGGTGAGGATGCCCCAAGGGAAGGTCTGGGATTGGTTTGGAGGGTGAGGAACTGAGCCTTTCCCCCACTCCTCCGCAGGCTGTCCTGAGCCGGCCAGCTGGGCCGCGTGCCGGCGGCCGCCATGTCCACCAAGGTGCCGATCTACCTGAAGCGGGGCAGCCGCAAGGGCAAGAAGGAGAAGCTGCGCGACATCCTGTCCTCGGACATGATCAGCCCGCCGCTGGGCGACTTCCGCCACACCATCCACGTGGGCAGCGGCGGCCAGAGCGACGCGTTCGGGGACATCTCCTTCCTGCAGGGCAACTTGCACCTGCTGCCCGGCGGCCGCGACGCCGAGCGCGGCGGGGCGGCGGCGCCGTTGGAGTCCTCGCGCGCGGCGCCGCCGCTCCAGAACGCCGTTTCGCTGCCGGCGCTCGGCGCCGCCCGGGCGCTGAGCCTGCCCGCGGCGCGGGCCCCGCCGAAACCCCCGCGGCTGCGCCCGGACGAGGCCCCGGCGCCGCCGTCGTCCCCGCGGCCCGGCGCCGGCGAGGCCGAGCCCTTCCCGGCGCACGCCGGCTCGCTGCTGTCCCTGCACGTGGACCTGGGGCCGTCCATCCTGGAGGACGTGCTGCGGGTCATGGACCGGCACCGGGCCGAGCGCGGCGCCCGCCCGGAGATCCGGACGTGACGGCGCGGGGAGGCGGACGGCGAGGATGAGGATGGCGAGCAGGATGCGGGGCGGTTTTCGGATACGGCGCTCGGATTCCGGCTCAGATCCCAGCTCTGATTACAGCTCATATTCCAGCTTGGATTCCAACTCAGATCCCAGCTCGGATTCCGGCTCAGATCCCAGCTCAGATCCCAGCTCAGATCCCAGTTCTGATTCCAGCTCAGATTCCAGCTCAGATCCCACCTCGGATTCCAGCTCGGATTCTGGCTCAGATCCCAGCTCAGATCCCAGCTCAGATCCCAGCTCGGATCCCAGCTCGGATCCCAGCTCAGATCCCAGCTCGGATTCCAGCTCTGATTACAGCTCAGATTCCGGCTTGGATTCCAGCTCAGATCCCAACTCAGATCCCAGTTCTGATCCCAGCTCAGATCCCAGTTCTGATCCCAGCTCAGATCCCAGCTCAGATCCCAGCTCAGATTCCAGCTCAGATCCCAACTCAGATCCCAGTTCTGATCCCAGCTCAGATCCCAGTTCTGATCCCAGCTCAGATCCCAGCTCAGATCCCAGTTCTGATCCCAGCTCAGATCCCAGCTCAGATCCCAACTCAGATCCCAGCTCGGATCCCAGCTCATTTTCCGCCTTTCCTCTCGCCGGGTGAGGGTTCACCCTCAGGGCAGAACCCCCGAGCTCTCCTCAGTGCCAGAGCTGACCACGGGAAACGCGACCCCGTGTCTGTCGGACCCCGCGGGATGAATTCCTCTTTTGGGATGAATTCCCAAAGATTCCGGCCAGGAGGATTTGGGGGCGCAGCGGGGTTTGTTCTGAACCGTCACGGCGCCGTCACTTCAACTCCTGCTCCGTGAAATCCTTTGGAAATCCCAGACAGGGCAATCTCCCCCGGGAGATCTCGCCAAAACTCCCCGTGGAGAAGCCAAAAGTCCCCGTGGAGGAGCAGGGCTCTTGTTTTAGGAACTCAATCCACGGAGGGGCCAAAAAACCCCTCTGGGGCCGGCAGGAGCAGGGCTGGGCTGGGAATCCTCGAGGAGACGCAAAACCAACCCAAAATCCCGATCCGGGCCGACGGATCCGCCGCCGACTGTTTGGGAGCGGCGGGAACGGGGAATTCCAGCTGGATTTTGGGGAACGGGACAAAAACCCAGCTGGACACGCTGCCGGTGACGGGGGGGATTCGCGGGGCCTCCTTGCCCAGGCTCCTGTCACAAATTCCATCTTTTCCCGATTCCGGGGAGTTTGAGCCCAGAATGAGGCCGGGATCCCCCCAGGGCAGAGTCGGGCCCCTCCTGACCAGCGAGTCTAATTTAGATTATCTGACTAATGACTCATTAGATTCTCCTTAACGAACCCTTGTCCCGCCTCTTCCTTCCCCTCCCCCTCTGCGTCGGTAAACCCGAACCGCTTTTGGTGCAAACACCCAGAATTTGGGGATAAACCCATTTCCCAACGTTTTCGTCTGTAAAATAATTAGCAGACCGAGGTTGATTGGGCTCGATCAGGTTTAATTTCTATTTGGTCCAACTCTTCCCTGCTCTGAACTCTTTTCTCCCCCCACACTCTGTCCACATTTTATTTATTTTGGGATTTTTCCTCGCCAAATCAATTCCAGCCGTTTCAGAGCCTCGTTTGCGATTAATTAACCCCCGGGACGTTTGTGATTAATTAAGCCCAGAGATTGGGATGGGAAGGTGGCTCCAGACACGCCACAGCTGCCACTCGGACCAACGTGAAGGGAAGCCAGCCCAGCACGGCTCATTTTGGGTGGATTTCTGTGCTTTGGGGGTTTTCCAACGCGAGCTGGGCTGGGACAATGTGGATGGACTTTTTTTCCTGGATTTCACCCCAGTTTTCCTGGCTTCCACCTTAATCAGTGATTTGAAGATGGAGCTGTTTGTGCCCCACCTCGGCCCAGGAATTGCGAAACCGTCGCTGCCGGAGCGGTTTCGAAATAATCAAAATCAGCCAAAATCCCCTTTTTTTCCTGTTTTGTCCCTTTTGTGTCCCGGTTTTTTCCCTTCCACAACCCAGGGCTGACTTTTGGGGTGCTCCAGCTTTAATCTGGGATCTCGTTCACTCGTTTCTGTTCTCTCTGCTCCAGTCCTGGAAAAGCTCCTTTAATTTATCAAATTTGGGGTTTTTTTAACCTTGAAAAGGTGATTTTTCTTTTCTCCCCCCCTCCCCTCCTTTCTCTCTTCCCTCCCTCCCACACCCCCCAGACCAACTTGCTATAAACCCCTGAAATTATCCCCAAAATTAGTGTTATTATCCCTGAAATGTTTTTTTTTCCCTCAATCTCATCTCCTGCAAAAAAAAAAAAAAACCAAATTCCTTAATTAACTTTTAATTAATGAATAAATCATTTGGGATCCCTTTCCACAGGACTGGAGCCTCCTTCACTTCTCCCCTAATTAATCACTCCCCGAATTAATGATTTATGCAAACCACAGCTGCTGATTTGCTCCCAATTCCAAGAATTTGAGTCATCCGGAGCAGCCCTGACTCAGCTTCCCCTCCCTTTTTGGAGAATAACTCCGGATTCAATCAAGGATGGAATCGTTCATTAACCCCAGCAGGGGCACAGGCCTCCCTCCCAATTTCCTCGTTATCCCGGGATTTCCGCTGGATTAACGCCGCCCACGCCAGCGGTCAGTGCCTGACCCCCGGCGTGGCCGGAGCCGGGAACGGAGCCGGAGCAACAGCCGGCCTGGGATTACCAGGAGGAGGAGGAGGAGGAGGAGGAGGAGGAAGGTTTGACCAGGGGGTGACCTTGGGGGAGAAATGCAAATTCCCAGCAAACAGGGAAAAAAAAACCCAGGTAGGATGTGGAAATAAGGAGGAAAAAGAGAGAGGAATTCATCTGGAAATAAATGGGGAATTCACCTGGAAGTGAGGCACTCACTTGGAATGTGGAATTCACCTGGAAATAAATGAGGAATTCACCTGGAAAGGAAAACTCACCTGGAAGCTGCCGTCAAACCACGCTCGCCGTGGGGTCTGTGGGTGACCTCGGTCCTGAGGGATGAATTTGGGGACACTTGGTTAATTCAGGTTGGAGAAAAAGGGAAAAGAGCTCAACAATGGGAACTTTTGGCAGGAGTTTTTGGGGATGAGAAGCCGTAAGGAATCTGGGGGGGATCTGAGGGATCCATCCTCACTTATCCCTCATTTCCCCTCTCCCAGCTGTTCATCCCTCATTTCATTCCCCCATCCCCAATTTATCCCTCATTTCCCCTCTCCCAGCTGTTCATCCCTCATTTCATTCCCCCATCCCCAATTTATCCCTCATTTCCCTCCCAACCCTCACCCCTCTTTCCATGTTATCCCTTCCTTCCTCCATCCCTCCCCATCCTCCCTCTTCTCACCCCATTCCATGGAAAAGCTGAGAAAACCTTTGGGATCATCAAAATCCAACCCGGCCACCCCTGAACAGCGTCCCCATGTGCCACATCCCAGCTTTTTTTGGGATAACCCCAGGGTGGGACAACCCTTTCCAGGGACTTTCCTGAATAAACCTCCCCTGACACAACTCGGGGCTGTTCCTTTTGTTTGATCCATGGGGAGAAGGGATCTCACCCCCAGCCCCATTCCAGGGAATCTAGGGAGCAGTGCGGTCTCTCAAATCTCCTTTTTCCACGATAAACCCCCTCATCCTCTGCCATCATTTCCGCCCTCACTTTCTGTCCATTTTTGCCTCACTCTCGTGCTTTGTTCTCTCCCATTTTTCCCCTCAGTCTCCCCCCGTATCCCCACTCTGCCTCCCGCCCCCATCCCCACGCCCTCCCTTCCTCCCCGTACCTTCAGCCGCCCCTTTTTCCCGGATTTTCTCCTTTTTTGTGCATTTTCCCCCTCAGATCCTTTTCCCGCCATTTTTCCCCTCAGGCTTTCCCCCCCCCCCCCCCCCCCCCCCCTTTCCCCCCTTTTCCCCCCCCCCCCCCCCCCCGCGCACGCGCGCGGCGCACAGCGCCCCCCAGCGGCCGGGAGGACTCCGCGCTCCCCTCCCCCGGCCCTCCCTCTCCCTCCCTCCGCCTCCCCTTTCCCCACCCTCCCTCTCCCCGCTCCTCCTCCTCCTCCCTCCATCCCTCTCCTTCCTCCTCCTCCTCCTCCTCCTCCTCCATCATCCCCCTCCCCGCCCTCCCGCCCCTCCCTCCGCGCACGCGCCCCGCGGCGCCCCGGCGGCGGAGCCAAGATGGCGGCGGTGGTTCAGAATGTGGTCAAGCTGTGAGTGCGGCTCCCCCCCCTCCCCGCACACCGCCGGTCCCCCCCCCCGCGGCGCGGGAATGGTGCGGCCCGGCCGGGCGCGGGAAGCGGGGCCCCCCCTTGGCCCCGCGCGCGCCGGACGGGACCAAGCGGGCGGGCAGGGGGGTGGGGAGGAAGCGACACGCGCGCATTGTTCGCCGTGAACTTTGCTGAGGGGGGCGTTGAGGACACCCCAAAATCCTCCCCCGGCACCGGGAGGGCCGCAGAGGTGTGAGGGGAGAGCAGAGCCTGCGAGGGTCCCGAGGGGCCGGGGGGGTCCCGCAGTCTGGCCCTGAGGGGGTCCTGGAGAGGGCAAAGGCGGGGGTTCGCCCCTGGAAAATTCCTGGATCGTATCCCTGTGCTTCCCTGTGCTCCCTCGTGTGGCCCTAAACTCCGTCTGCGAGCGTCCTGGAGAGGCCAAGGACGGGGGAGTCATCCCAGCGCATCCCTGGAGAGTCCCTGTGCCTCCTTCAGTATCCCTGAATATCCCTGAATATCCCTGAATGTCCCTGTACCTTCCTGCTTTTTCCTGCACTGCTTCCCTGTGCATCCCTGGAGAGTCCCTGTGCCTCCTTCAATATCCCTGAATATCCCTGAATATCCCTGAATATCCCTGAATGTCCCTGTACCTTCCTGCTTATTCCTGCACTGCTTCCCAGCGCATCCCTGGAGAGTCCCTGTGCCTCCTTCAATATTCCTGAATATCCCTGAATGTCCCTGTACCTTCCTGCTTTTTCCTGCACTGCTTCCCTGTGCATCCCTGCCAGAGGGTCCTGTGGAGGCCGAGCTGGGGGGAGCTTCCCTGTACTTCCCTCGAAATCCTTGTATTTCCCTCAAAATCCCTGTATCTCCCTCGAAATCCCTGCATTTCCCTGTATATTCCTGTGCTTCCTTCTAATTCCCTGTATTGCTCTCTAAATCCCTGTATTTCCCTGTGTATTGCTGTATTTACCTTTAAATCCCTGTATTTCCTGTAAATCCCCATATTTCCTGTAAATCCCTGTGTTTTCCTGTCCATCCCTTGGCTCCATCTCTTCCCGCCCCTGTGAGAGTGTCCTGAAGAAGCCAAGGAATGGGAAATTGGAAACTTTATTCCGGAGGATTTCCACGTTTATTCCTGATATTCTCCAAGATTTTGTCCCTGAGGGTTTCTAGGTTTATCCCTGATATTCTCCAGGATTTTATCCCCGAGTCTCTCCGTTTGTATCCCTGACACTCCCCTGGTATCCCTGACATCCCTGAGAGGTTCCCCATTCCCTGTACCCGTCCCTGCCAATCCCGGTGCCAATCCCTGCCATTCCTTGTGCCAATCCTTCCCATTCCCTGCGCCATTCCCTGTACCCATCCCTGCCATTCCCCGTCCCATTCCCTGTGCCGTTCCCCGTGCCCATGCCGCCTTTCCCGATGCCGATCCCGGCGTTCCCAGCACTGATCCCTACCAATCCCTGTGCCATTGCCTTTGCCAATCCCTCCCATTCCCTGTGCCATTCCCTGTGCCCATCCCCGCCATTCCCTGTGCCCATCCCCGCCATTCCCTGTGCCAATCCCTCCCATTCCCTGTGCCATTCCCTGTGCCCATCCCGGCATTCCCCGTGCCCATCCCGGCATTCCCCGTGCCCATCCCGGCATTCCCTGTGCCAGTCCCGGCATTCCCGGTGCCGATCCAAACACTCCCAGCACTGATCCCTGCCATTCCCAGTGCCCATCCCTCCCATTCCCTGTGCCATTCCCTTTGCCCATCCCTGCCATTCCCTGTGCCATTCCCTGTGCCCATCCCTGCCATTCCCTGTGCCCATCCCTGCCATTCCCTGTGCCCATCCCTGCCATTCCCTGTGCCCATCCCTGCCATTCCCTGTGCCAGTCCCAGCGTTCCCGGTGGCGATCCCGGCACTCCCAGCACTGATCCCTGCCATTCCCAGTGCCCATCCCGGCATTCCCCGTGCCCATCCTGCCATTCCCTGTGCCAGTCCCGGCATTCCCGGTGCCGATCCCAACACTCCCAGCACTGATCCCTGCCATTCCCAGTGCCCATCCCTGCCATTCCCTGTGCCAGTCCCGGCGTTCCCGGTGCCGATCCCGGCACTCTCAGCACTGATCCCTGCCATTCCCTTTGCCCATCCCTGCCATTCCCCGTGCCCATCCCTGCCATTCCCACCACCAATCCCGCCGTTCCCAGCGCCCATCCCGCCGTTCCTGGTGCCCATCCCTGCCATTCCCAGCGCCCATCCCGCCGTTCCCTGTGCCCATCCCGCTGTTCCCTGTGCCCATCCCGCCGTTCCCAGCACCAATCCCGCCGTTCCCGGTGCCCATCCCGCTGTTCCCTGTGCCCAACCCGCCATTCCCCATGCCTGTCCCTGCTGTTCCTGGTGCCCATCCCGCCGTT